ATACATACATACATACATACATACATACATACATAGTTCACATTAACACATGCACACCGTTCATCTCGCCTTATCTCTACCTCCATCTACATATTCGTTCTTTAGGGCTCAAGTTAACACTATTTAGGGCTGTGTCTGTATTTTTTGATCTCTGTTAGCATGACGCTTAGGGAGGAGCATGTGAGGCTGGTCTGCTACCGGACTTGACTGTCTGGGCCTGCGAAACTCTATTCACGAATGAGTCCACCCCGACCGAAGTGATTAGGGCTGTCCAGGCTGAGAGAAATTGGTAGGTCGGTTTCATCAAAGAGGAGTAAGACTTCACAGTTGTACGTCCCAATCTTCGGCAAGGATTGCCTGATTTCAAGCTGGTTTTTCATGTGTCTGACTCGAGGCCAGTCTAGCACTGTGCTCACCCGTCCAATCCCCACACACACACACATAAACATACAGACAGACAGACAAGCAGACACATACACACACAGGCAGACAGAGGTGCAAGAGGACATAAACCAACGGTACCCAAGACTCGACTTGGTGCTCGAGTCGCCTCGGATCCGGCGGGTTCGGCAGTCGTCTTCGGCTGATCCGGTTCGGCTCGATGAACAGTCAGATCCGAGGCTATCGGACGACCCGAAAGTGACCACCTCGACTGGACAGGAGCGCAATCAGCGCTGGTTTGACCCGGAAAAGTCTGCAATGCCGGGCCCAGTCTAGCCTAATGTGATCGGGGCTACCAGAGGAGGAGTGAGGAGACGCGACTCGACTCGACTCGACTCGATTCGAGGTCCGTCGAATTTGCTGTCTCCAGGGCCGGGATGCGGCACCGCCCCCGAGACGAGGCCGACTGGCCTCGTCTCCTCTTTGTGCCGCTTCTCCTGCTCATCGCTGTCGGTCCGAGGGGTTGCCGTCTCCAGGCACCGGCGAACCACGACCAGACCGGTCGACTCGTCCGCTATGATGCGCTCTACCAGGGCGGACAAGCCGGCACTCGGACGGCCGAGTTCAACACGCATCTGCTCACGAACCCAGGCCTTGGAGACGGTATGCCGCATGGCCTTAAGCGTGTCCTGAAGCCCCCGAAACCGGGCAAGCCGGGTCTGAGTCCGAGTCCGGGTCCGGGTCCGGGATCGGCGCCACTTCTGCCCAGCATGA